AACTGCTTCAAAGTGTTTCTCAGATGATAAATGCATAAATTTGACTTATCAAATTTACAGCAAAGACGATATATGGCCGTATATGTGATAAGTATATCAACTTTGTCAACAACTTTTAATATCGAGTTGTAGTCACTAGTTCACCTTCCTTCTCATCTCACAGCTTCTGATTGGGATCAATTAGTGTGTCTGCAAACTTACAACCACTCATCACACTTTCCTTCAGAAGATTAAGAACATACTTTCGTTAAGAAACAATAATAACTTTCTTCGATCTAGCCACCCCCATGTTAAGAAAATACCTCAGATGTTCTAAGTCCTTAGTCTCACAAACTAATGAGAGAGAAGTCTTCAACCGATTCATTTCATCTACACCATCTCTGATGAGAATGATATCATCCACATACATGATCAGCATGACTATCTTCTAATTCTTGAAAGCTTGAAGAACATTGTATGATCTCCTTGCCCTTGAATATCCCCTGACATTTAACAAACAATGTAAACTTCTCAAACCACATTGTTTCAACCCGTACAAGGATTTTTTTAGTTTACACACCTTTGTGTTGAATTTCTCACTAAATCGTGGAGGAGGTGCAACCATGTACACTTCTTCCTCTAAGTCCCTATTGAGAAATGCATTTTTTATATCCAAATGTTGTAGGAATCAGTCAAGATTAGTTACAAATGACAGAAAAACTCTTATAGAGTTTAGTGATACGACTGGGACGAATGTCTCTAAGTAATCAACGTCAAAGGTCTAAGTATATCCATTGGCAACAAGTTAAGCCTTATACCATTCTAGAGAACAGTCATAATTATAATTGATTTTAAACGCTCATTTGCATCTAATAATTTTCTTCCCTCTAGGTAGATGAACCAATTCACACGTATCATTTTTTCTAAGGTTTTCATCTCTTCCAAGACGATCTACTTCCACTTAGGAACTTTCAGAGCATCCTGCACAATATTAAGAATTTCTATACAAGACAAATATGTGCTAAAGGCCCAAAAAATAGATGAGAGATTTTCATATGACATATAATGAGATAATGGATGTTGGGTGAAAGCCTCATCCACTTATAAGCAGCAATGAGATGACTGGAATCATTAGAATTAGGATTAGAGCAAGACTTAGGTTCAGAAATTGAAAATTCAAAACTCGAAGATGAAGTGAACTGATCATGGGGGGGGTAAAAGCTTAATGAGGACATTACCTTGAGGATACATGGATTATGGGCAATGCAAAGGATATGTAGATTCTTTCTTTTGAGTTGTCCTTTGTCGTGAGTAGACAATATTAAACAACACCAATGTCGTACTTCTTTTTTTATTTTTTTTCTCTTTTATAGTTGTAATAGGATTATGGACATCATGAAATGGTACTGTAGGATGATATGAAACATCTTCAATACCTAAAAAACTCAACTCACTTTCTCATAATATAATATAGCTTGAATTTTTAGTTGAACGATCAAACTTGGGGAGATATTATTTTGTGAGACTTCGATTTGAAGAACGTTCTAAAAAATAGTCAATTTTTTGTCGTCTCTTCCCCCTTGAATATGAGGTAAAAAAAGAATTGTAATTCAAAAAATGTGACATCCATGGAAACAAACATTTTTTTAGAAATAAGATCAGAACATTTATACCAATTTTGGCTAGGAGCATAACCAACAAACACACATTTTATGGCCCAGGGTTAAATTTTTCCTTGATTATGACTTTAAATGTGAACAAATGCAGTACACCCAATTATCTTTAAAGATAAACAATATGAAAGCCGATTTGTTGGATAAATTTTATGAAAAATATCAAAATGTGTTTCAAAATTCAAAACTTTATTAGGTGTTCTATTAATGAGAAATGTAGCAGTAAAATCGACTTCACCAAAAAGATATTTTAGCAACTGATTTGTAAATAGCAATGCTTGAGCTATTTACAAAAAACATTTGGTTTTTCTTTCAGCAACATCATTTTGTTGTGGGGTGAAAAGATATTTTAGCGACTGATTTGTAAATAGCAATGCCTGAGCTATTTACAACAAGTGTTTGGTTTTTCTTTCAGCAACATCATTTTGTTGTGAAGTGTAGACACAAGAGCTTTGATAAACTATTCCTTCTTCAAAAAAATTGACCAAAATATTTTTAAAATACTCTTGGTCATTATCATTCTGTAATATTTGAATATTTTTTTGAAATTGTGTTCGTACCATGGTGTAAAAATGTTTTAACATTATTTCTGCTTTAGATTTTTCTTTCATTAAATACATCCCTTGTGTGATCATCTGTAATGTAACAAACCATTTTTTTTCGGTGTGTAAGATGTTTATACCAAGATAGCACTATGAATCATAGTACAATAACATAGTTCGTTTGTAAATTTGGGAAGAAAACGAAATACAATGCAATGATATTTGACAAATTGACAAACTTTACATCAGAAAAAGGACAATTTTATTTTGAAATAAATTGGAAAGCAAGAATTTTAAATACTAAAAATTAGGATGACCTAACCTATGGTGTCATAGCACAATATCATTGTCTTTAGAAATAAAATCAAAATTTAAACAAATACTTTGACGTTATTTATTCGCATCAAGTCCATCATCAAAATAATAAAGTCCACTTTTCTTAGTATTGTCAATCAACTTCCCAGTGGTCAATTCCTGAAACTCACAACAAAAAATATAAAAATTAACTTGACACTAATAACCAGAAGTAATTTTGTAAATGAATGATAAATTACAAGGCAAATTGGGAATATGGAACATTTCACGAAGGGTTAACAATGATGTTTGACAGTTTATATCCTGACAATTACTAAGAGGGAACCATCAACAATTTTGATCATTTTATTGTTTGCAAAAAGTCTATAAGATGAGAATAATTTAGAGCAATCAGTCATATGATCAGTTATACTAAAATCAATTATCCAAAAATGAACAAAATTAGGGTTAAAACTTAACAATCCTTTCTGTACTGAAAAGCGAGACAGTCAATGATAATTTTGGAGATTGAAACAACTTGTGCAGATGCTCTAATTGCTTCTTGGTGAAAGGTATTGCATCTGAGTTGGTAAAAAGCTCTCAGGTTTCATCATAAGTGGCTTGATAGGCCCGACCTTCACATATAGAATTTAGTTTTCAATTTGGGGTTTATAAAGCATTCAACATGTCTCCTAAGTATGTCATGATTTTTTGCAATACTCGCACCACCATGGGTGATGCAACTTGGTTTTTAAATTACTGGAACAGGTATAAATAGTAGACTTTCTTTGGGTGCCTATCATAATCAAATTGTATGACATCATGAGAAAACATGCTAGTAGTGGATACTATGTTGAGCTCAAACACAGTGAAAAAAGGCAACTTTGATCAACCTAATGCGAACGAGAGCTCACAACAACTATTTCGATTGTGAGCTCCATCGCGATGAAAAACAAACAAGAGCAATGCACGAGCAATGGATGCTTCTACAAGATTGACTCAGGTTCGAAACTCGTAGAGAACTCTGGGTAATTTTGGTCGCGAACTCGATCATATTTTTAGGTTCATGACAAAATTGATATGAATCCTTGATGGCTAAACAATGAGGAGGTTGCAATGGGATAAAGCCAATCAAAACCATCAAGTAAAACAATCCAGCCCCCTCGATATGGGATAGGACTGCGACGAGGAACCTCATTTTATCATCTTCTGAATTCAACAAAAAAACATGTCTCGTAGGATGACGATAATCTCTATTTCAGTCATTCTTCGTAACCGAGCTGCAAGTGATCTCGGTCATTATGATACATTGACAAAACCGTGTGACATTAAGTCTTTGAACACCAAGATCAAGTTGTTGCCTTCCCAGCAGACTAATCGCGATGTATCGCGAGGGATGAATGTCGAGATCAGTCAGCAGGCTCTAATTGTGGTTGCATCGACTCTAATCGCGAATGTATCACTACGGATGAACGTCGCAATCAGTTGTTGCCTTTCCCGCAGACTCTAATCGAGACTGTATGGTGAGGGATTCAGCACAGGCTACACAATAGTTGACAATCTGGACGAATTAGGTAATCATTCGAATGAGAACCAAACTAGCTCTAAGACCATGTAATTCTTTTTTAGGACAAAAGTAATTATTCCTCTTTAATTTCCAAAGACTCGGTTACAAGATAAATAAATGGGGAAGAGTACCACATTCAGAATGCCGCAAAATCCTCATGCTAGATAAAAAGAAATAGAAACTACCATAAATAGCTAATTCTAAAATAGAAAATAATAAAATAGAATATAACAAAAAAGGGAAAAATTAAAATTCCCACAAGTTGTGATCAATATTTTTCCAAGAAAATCAATACGAGGGTATAACTTCAAATTCAACCATAAGCTAATAGCTCTAGGCAATGAAATCACTCCATATCTCTTTCTCCAAATGGACAATAGCTTCCATTTCAACTAGAACCATAGCCATTAAAAGCTAGAAAAGCTTTTCAAAATAATTTTGTATCGGAGAGTGTGAATTAGGAAATGGAAAAAAAAAACAGAAAAAAAATGCATTAAATTCAACTTGCATCCTAACCCTACCAATTTTATAATGAATTCATCACAAGATTTTCATGTCTGCCAATTTCAAATGGGTTAGTAGAGACTTATTTGTTCCCCAAAACTTAAACTTCAGCACATATGCACTCCCATCATACTATATAAAAAAACTCAATGAAATAAACTGCTACCTTAACAATGCCATCTAAACTCAAACATGAAAGAACAAAAGCAATAAGCTACCGCATTATAGAATGTCATCTCGGAAAGAATAAAAAATCATGGTTATAGTATCAAGCAAGAAAGCCAGACGTAAATTCTATAATTGGATACATTTCTAGCAAAACAATAGTGGTAAGAATATCAAGCATGAAAGTCAGTTGTAGATCCTATAAGTGAATACATTTCCAGCGATACAATAGTGGTAAGAATATATGGAATCACACAAGAACAATGTGATAATTACCGGTTAATTCCATTGCACTAGGCCTTGAAGACACATTAGTTGACAGCATTCTTTGGATATCAACAATAAGCTCTGAGGGAATTGGCGAGAATGACTCACTGGATAAGTATGACAAGCTATTCATATACTGCAACATCATATATAAAAAAACTGGCTAAGGAAAAGCATAAAAAACATGTAAAATTCAGAGCTAAAAAGCTTCTTTCTCAATACATTCTAAACTTGCTACCATATATGCTAGTAATAGCTGCACAAACAAGAAAAGATTAAATAAGTATGGGAAATGAAACCCATAAAGTTTTGCAATGCACTTCATAAAAAAACGTTTCAAGCAATTTCTTGAGAATTGAAACTCAGAAAAGTGAGAAAGGTCACTATAAAAATGATAATCACAACGATGTTTCCATAGCTTGAACATGAATTCGTAAGTGTAGTGTACTTCATTGCCTATTGTACATAATCTTGATGATCAAGATATGTTTTAACTTGGCCGTGATTATCTTGTACTCCGATTCAATGAAAAAAAAACAAAGGATATTGACTACAGTTTTGGGGTGGTTTGCTTGCTAATTTGTTCTAGATATGTTGCACTTGTATAGAAAAAATGGTCAAAAACTTATTTGGAAGCAAGCAAGGAGTTGTTTATTTGACTATTGCGTTTCAAATAACATTGTTCTTATGTCTTGATCCGACATTTAGATCATTTATTCATTTTAGATGTCGACTGAAACTTGACTTGCAGCAATTTTCAAGTTGCCGAAAGTGGATTCCTCAGTTTGCTGCCAACTCAAGTACCACATTTTATTCAAAGAGTAGGATATTCTCATGGAAGTGTTGACCTTTTTCCTATCCTCCTTTAGGACACTGGTTAATGTTTAGTCCATTGACTCGCCCATCCAGTATCACTAGTGATCTCATACATTTGTGCTACTCACGGTCCAGTGCCACCCTGGTGCAGGTCGCATGTTCATTGACTTGTTCATTGACCATATGAAGGCCACACAAAAATTGTATTTTTATTCCGTTGACATCTCTCTAGTTGCTGCCAGAAGCTAGAAAATCACCACCGCCTACTGGGCTTATTGCCCACCTTGTTCTGACCGACTCTGTTGGTAGGTTGAGCAAGGGTAGAGAAAGTGAAGGATTAGGATAGATAGGGTGAAGGAAGAAGCGGGACTTGCTTAACTGCAGATGCTTTCGCCTTCACCAGCTTAGCTGGGGGAAAAGAGCTGAGAGACGAGAGAACTGTTCAGAGAGAAAGAAAAAAAGGAGTGGTAGGAGCAGTTGAAGAAAGACGCAGGAAGTGTGGGGGGGAGCAGTAGAAAAAGGTTATTTAGAAGCCAATTGTAGGAGGCACAATAAAAAGGGTATCCAGTTATCTTCCCAGAGAACAAAGACAATTTTACATACTATAACTTCACTGCAACTGAAAGCAAAATAAAACAAATAAATAAAAGCTTGTCAAGTTTAAAATACAAAATTTGATTGCTTAGTTATTAAATTGCCCTAAGCATATGAAGATAAAGTATGAAGCTATATGATGTTTAAATTTAATCTAATCTAAATTTGGAATTTAAAAATCGGAAATTCAAATTCACTCATTTTGTTTTCCATTCAAACAATCATGTCATATTTTTTAGTAAGATTAGTTTTTCAATGCTAATTTTTCTTCCAGTCCTTCCACATAAATTCTATCTATCAAATAGATAGATAGATTTGATTGATCAATCATTAAGAAAACAAATTGTCAGAAATATTGGTGCATCTTCTACCAAACATTGAGCATATGCCCAAAACAAAATATATTTTCTTGACATCTTATCTTCAGTAATGCTAATCCTACAGCCTCTAGTATGATAATTGAAAACATGAAGAGGATGAAAAAAAAAGGGAGAAATATATTTCATGTCATAATATTTTCTCTCAAACAAAAGGCGGTGATTTATTGCAGTTGATAAAAACATGACAAGCTAAATAAAATTTCCTCATAAATTGCATACAAGAACTAACTGATCATACAAACTGTGAAAGCAGCATCATGCCATGTGTCAGGCAAAATAGATTAGTTTTCTGACAATATGCTAATATTTAACCTTCCCTACAAGAGAGTTAGTGCATTTTTGCTAACCTTTAAATTTGATCAATATGAGTGTCAATCAGTTTGTAACCAAGTAAACCATTTTCCTCGAGAAAATTTTTTCGATGGGAAAAATAATACCTGACTTATTTCTAGCCACCAACATGCCAAGGTAGTATCTTTAAAACGAAGATCATTTATTTCAAATTCATTTGCTAGCATTTTTTTTAATGAACAATAAAAAATATTGTTACAAGTTAAAATGAGGTCATAAATAAGTGGCATACACATGTTTGTAAAACAGAGTGTTCACTAATAGCTTGCTTAAACCCTTGTTACAAAAGACAATAGTTAAGTATTTAAACCATGCACTTGGTGAAAATTTGAAAATAAATAAAATTGTCAATTCACACTTATGACTCATTCTAGTAGAAAATGTTCACTCAAGTTTCCATTTAGAATGCCATTTTTTAATAGAATGGTGAGTAAAAAAACACAAAGTGTGTAACTCAAAACCAAAACATGAAGAAACGCCTTCAACCTTTAGGTTGTAGATCCTTTTGCTGAAGAATGGCCTTTTTATATCAATTTATTATAAAGCGCAATAAAAATATATAATTATCAAGAGAAAGACCAGCATTGGCTTCAGTTTCACATTATGAGCAATAAACTTCAAGTAGTCTATCAAATAGTTATGATTGAACAAATTTCCAACCAGCTATGCCTCGCATCTATCCATACATCCGTCATATAGAAATGGTGTAAGGACCCATTTACAGTCTGTCAGGATGGTTCTACCAGGTATTTGAACAATCTGCCTAGTCCTATTTCTTCGCAAGCCCCTCTTCTCTCCTAATACCTCTACCCATTCGATTCTTTCAGGATCCACTTCAAGCCTTTGGAATTTCATCTTCTATAAGATTGGAAAACCAAGATTTATGCAAAACAAACTAGGAAATTTTACCCCCAAAAAATTTTATTTATTTAAGAAAATCTCCTAAATTGGGTTGGATTATGTTACTAACGTCATCATTATGTGAGGAGTTCATTATTATCACCAAGAAAAGGTCATGGGAAAAAATTCAATCATAACCACCATCAACTATTTATAGAAAAAAAATAAACAAATGTGGAAAAATTTATTGTTTTTATCAACGATGGCATATCTTTAAACATAATGAAAGTAATTTTATGACTCCATACTTTTTGTTAAGGCCTTCATTTCTTCTAGCACTATTTTCCCTTCGACCCTTTCAAAGATTGAAAATCAAAGCTAATGCAAAACAAATAGGATAATTTTATGCAAAAAATGAAGTTATTTATTTAGGAAAATTATCTTATTGAAAGTAGCATAGTTTTAAGATAGATAAAATGTGTTATTTTTATTGAAAGTAGCATAGTTTTAAGCATCAAGAAAGTAATTTTATGACTTCACGCTCTTTCCAAATAAACTTTATCAATTTGTGCAAACATGGTAACATGCATGGTCCTCCTTTTCTCTCTCCACTTTCCTTAAAGGTTCCAATGTAACAAAAGACAGTATGGATGGTGATTTAAAGTCTAAGATTCAATCATATTTAATTTTCAAGAAAATTATAGAGGGGCTCAAGAAATCAAACAATCAACAAATCAATGAATGAAGTTGAAGAGTTCATGGATCAATGAAGTGGCAAACCCTTAACAATGCATTTATGCATTTTTTTTATTTCATGAAATTGATGGATATGCCATAATTATGTAATATTTTTGTAGTAGAAAATAGACCTGATTGATTTACATTGGAGCATTGCTCCTATGATGTATAAGGTGAAACTTGTGGTTCTTTTCTTCATGAAGATTTTGGCGAGTCTTTCATAGAAATTATCTCTATTATTTTCATTCTTTTATGATGAATAGCCATCATGGTCTTTATTCATGGTAGCTCACCCTCAACTTTATTAAATGGTATTAGACGTAAATGCTCGGACTTGTATTGCACCTAAAAAAATTACTAACTTACCCTTCTCGTTGAAATATTTGTACATATAATTGATTGTGCTTCCAAATTCTCCCCTTTTGGCTATTTTCTCTTCTCAAACTTTTAAATTTTCTTTGCCATCAATCATACAAAGAGTCGAGAGCTTGGTGGTCATCTTGTGTTAAGACTTTGATGTATAATGATACTCTTTCAAGAATTGTTTAAAAAGGGAGTTTGTCCTTCTTGTGAAACGTTTAAGAGTTACCTTGGCCTTTCACAAATTTCATCATTTGACTTCCTTCAACTCTAGAAAAGGTTCGAGTCTTGGCAAGCTAGCAAGTCTAGATTCTTTGGTGAGTGTCAACACTTCTTGAAAAATTGCTAGGAATAAAAAATATTTTTCATGTTGAGTTTGTTTTTAACTCATGTGTGCACCCGTATTTGTTAGGTCTTAAACTCAAAACCTCGTGTTTGGAGACAAAGCATATAACCACTAGGCCTTAACATAAAACTTTTTATGTTAAGGACTATTATTCTAGTTATCATAACTTGCTCCTAATTTTTTTGTATGCCGTTTTTCCTTCCATAATTACTATGTTTCTTCTTCCACTTTTTTTTTTCTTTTATTACATCGGCATACTATGAAAACCTATCGCACATTTTAAAAATGAGGGCATAGTTCTTAAGGAAAAGGAGAATGATCTAGAATAAGAAGGGAAATTTCATGCAAAAAAAAAGAAATTATTCACTTATGAAAAATTTTCTTTGTGGGAATGTATTATATTGCCATCAGCATTATCATCATCATATAAGGAGCTGATTATAATCATCATCAAAATGAAGATATTGAGAAAATTCAACCATAACCATCATCATCTATTTATGCAAGGAAATAAACAATAAAGATGAAAACAATATGTTATTTTTATCAAAGTTGGCATATTTTAAGCATTATGAAAGCAATTATATAGCTCCACACACTTTTCAAATGATATTGGTCAATTTGTGCAATAATGATAACATTCATGGTCATCCGCCCCTCTCTCTCTCCACATTCCCTAAAAATTCATTAAAGAAGAAAATATGAATGATA